GGTTACTGATTTGCATGCTTTTAGATCTTTCTTTTGTGGGTGATTTTCTTGGGAAATTTTCCTTTGTCTTTTCCCGAGAATGTAAATTTTTACTGAGAGAAAATTTTGAGTTATGATTTATGAATGTTTCTCAGTAATTTCCTACACGGAGGAAAACTTAATTTTGTAATTCTCAATATAGTATAATGATTCATATATCACGCAAATTACACGAAATGGTCATCAGTTCAAAGACTGGCAGTGTTTTAACTGTAAACGTAAACATCTTACACTACGTAAAGTGTGGGTGATTATATAATTTAATACATTCACTATCTTTATTTACGTATTTATTCTCGACATTTTCTTTTTCCAAAGATATTCTATTTCATGGTGGATTGTTATAATTGTGTCTCCTTCGTGTATTTGTGTTACTTTCATATTTTTCGTTGCACTCTGCACTGAATATAACATTTAACCGAGATTAATAGTCTAATGCATTGCACTGGTGTCATCCTTTAAATTCAAGTCATTGTTGACAAAAGAAAGTGAAAAAAAAAAAATTTAACACTAAATTTAACAACAATTTTTTTCTTGGTAGTAAATTTATCAGTATTATTTTCGTTATTATACCATACAATGTGTTTTAAAAAAAAATTGTATTAAGAATTTGGAAAACATTATATGGTAGAAATCAAAAGATAATTCGATTACTTGCCCCATTTGTCTGCATTAATTTGCTTATAATTTGATGATATCCGATCAACAAGTCCAAAAATTCTTCTTTTCTCACGCGATTAAGGCAGAGAGATTTTGGAGTGAAGTGCAGTCCACACAAACGTCTAAAATTTAGGTTTGCGTTATCTTTTTAATAACAAAACAACTTTATTTCTTGGCTTTTTTGTCACATTAATAAAATCTTCGATTAATTAATAGTATAATATTTTAAAATTTTCATAATCCCTTTCGGAAAATCCAATTGGTTCATGCTGATTTACACAACCTACTAACACATGGTAATATAATAAACCTACGGGCTATACAGTCCACTGATTAAACAATAGGTAAAGAAATTATATAAATTTAATATTGTCCATTAGTAGAAGCAAAATTAAGTTTTAATTAGCTATTTGTTCTCTGTATCCAAGAGGTGCATAAGGGAAATGGGACACGTGTCAAGAAAAAGAGTTAATTGTAGGGCAAAGACAATGATTCTGATATTGACTTTTTTGACAAGCTGAGCTGTTTCGAGGCGCCGAGCAGCCGCGTCTCCGCATAAAAGTTCCAAAGCAATC